AAAATATGTGTTTTCCTAAAGTAGAATAGCTATTCGAATAATAAGACAATGGGGAAAAACAGCCAACGGACACAAAAATACTAATTTGAAAGGAAACATGCACTCCTATGTTTATTGCATTATTCACAATAGCCAAGATAAGGAAACAACCCAAATGCCCCAAAGTAGATAAATGGCTCAGAGTTGTGGTATATTATACAATGGAATATTACTCAGTGATTCAAAGAGATAAACTCATGGCATTTGCAGCAACATAACTGAAGCTGAAGGGGATTATGTCCGCCAAAATAAGTCAGAGGAAAAAGATAAATATTGGATGGACTCACATGTGGAATATAGAGAAACCAAAAATAGTAAAAAAAAAAAAAAAAAAATCAAAACCAGCAAGCTGATCATAGATCAGAGGTATACAACAGTGTGGGCGAGGGAAGAACCCAGTGGAATATGGTGATGGTTCATGGGTGATATGGTGCTGGGAGATCTATAGGGACTACAACAATCTAAGAAGTTTTGTTTTGTTTTTTGTATAATTTATAGGCTTATTGTTTTTCTGAAGACATGTATTTTTTTAATAATATAAGTTTATTTTTATATCATTTTGTGCCTTTTTCCATCTCAGTTGTAATCCCCGTGGGAATGTAAGAATTTTTTTTTAAAGATTTATTTATTTATTCATACAGAACTGGGGTACAGGCCAGAGATGCGGAGGGTGAGAGGATTCACCAGAGACAGAGTGGGGAGCAGAACAGGCAGATCGACGAAGTACACTGCTGAGGGGAGCAGCGGGAGGGTCAGGAGAGGTCTGCCGCGCCATGTGGGTTTCCTCCGGGGTAGGCAGGGATCGAACTCATGCAGAAGTGGCTTTAGCTTCTTAGTGCTGTGCTTTAACCTGCTGCGCCACCTGGGAGGGCCGGATGTAAGAAATTTCTAAAAATAAAAATTTTAAAGTAATCAATAAGCTATATTATAGAAAATGCAGTCATTTTGAACAAGGGGAACTGCATATAATAAAAGTTAGATAAGAGTAATTGTTCTGTTGTCTTCTGGACTTGACTGTTGTTGGAGAAGGCTGGGCCCAGCCACACACTCTCCCTTGGAAGTGTGTGCCATTACAGAAAGACAGCGGCGCTGTAGTTTCCATGACAGTCACTGTCTTTGTCCACAACTCCATCCACATGTGTTCTGATTCACATGACAAACATCACCCTTTGAGACACAGATGAACCTTCGACTATAATTTAGGAAAAGGATATCGTGCCAGTAGGAAATCTCTCAAACAAACCAGGTAAAATGTTTTCACCGGCACCTCTGGCTATTGCTACCCAGCACTGTTGTCAAGTGACCGGCCCTCTGTCCAGGTCACCTTTTGAGAGCTGTTGCTGGCTGGCACCGCCTCCCACTGCTGCTGCTGCCTCTGTTGCTGCCGGTGCAGTGTCCATCGCTGTCTGGCACTGCGCCCCCTGCTGTCCAGCCCAGCCTTCACATTGTGGTGGGCTGCCCCAGCAGCGTCTCAGCCGCCTGCCTCTGAACACCTCCTGCTGTGGTGAGTGGGATCCTGGCCTGCGGCTGGCAGGTGGCCTGTGAGCTCCTTGACACTCCAGCGCCATCTTAGATGAGCAGCCTTTTGTTTAGACTTTTGGACATTATCAGGGTAAGAATGGCCCCTGTGGCCTTAGAAACTTGCTCCTCTTCTTGTTAAATGACCCCATTGTTCCCTGAGCCTAGGTAATCTTGCAGCTGTGTGTGCAGGTGAAGAAGCCACAGACAGTTCTCCGCCAATCAGCTCCCCCTGTGGCTCTCATTACTCTTATCATTGTGAATAATCTACCGGTATCCGTATTTGCTATAAAAAAATTAACCTAAGAATCTTACAATAGGAAAATTGAGCTGGAAATAGATGACCTTAGACTTAGCTTCAGGACATGGTCTGGTAAAAATTAAAAGCAGAGTCTGCTTTTAAATGTTGAAAGGGATGGCAGAGCAGATTGTCACGTCTGTCCCTGAGGACACAGATGTCAACCATGATGAAGGGCCAAGAACAGACATATTCTTGTGCAAAGTCCCACAAATCACCCTGCAGCATGCCCAGCAGACAGTTGTGGACTGCTCACTGGCTACTCCTTGAAGTTGCTTTTCACAGTCTCAAAATCCGTCACCTCAAAACCATTTAAACCTTCATTGCAGATGTAATGAGTTCTGTCCTAAAAGAGAATCATTCCTCAGCAATCCATTTAAATTAGGTTTCCTGACAGTTCATCTGACACTGAATTTGAAGGGATTCCATCAGCTGTGAAAAATCCTAAAGCCTTAGGACACAAGATTTAAACAGATTTTATACCAAGTAAAATATGCTCATAAAACACCCCAGCTCAGCTCTCTCGGTCATTTCTAGCTGTGCCCCAGGTTGCGTCTTGTTTGTAGTGTAAAATCTCCTTTGGACACCTGGGGATGAGACATTTTGCATTTTAGTTATGTCTCTGATTTACTATAAGTGGAGCCACCTGCCCATAGGAGGCCAGCGTGTGATGTATATTGAGAAAACACCAACCCTTGTTTTATGATCCAGGAGTGTTGCCCACCCATGTGGGACTTCTGAAGCATTAACTTCAAAGACTCTCCTCCACAGTAACCCAGTAACAGAACAAGGTTAGGCAGCAAGGGACTGGCTACCAAGACAATGGCAACAGAATGCTCTAAAGGAAGAGTCAGTTCAGCGGAGGGAGCAAGCTGGCTCTTGGATAATAAAAATCAGGTGGTCTAGGGAGCTGCTCAAATTGGGTGCAGCGTGTGAATCACAGCCATTGATAATTTCCACTAAGACACTTTCATTCAGTATCTAGTAATATCTTTTTTATTTTGTTCATATACTTTCTAATTTACATTCTTTCATCTATGGTTGATTTATTATCCAATTATCCTCTTTATTTTAAGATCATTGATTAAAATACAGTTGTAAGAGCTAGAAGAGGAATTCCACAGACCCTTTACCCAGTTGCACCAATGGGAGAGCTCCGTGGGGGAGGAGGCGGGTCTGGGAAAGGTCAGAAAGGGATGCCCTTCCGCTCCTGCTGTGTCCACGTTGACAGCTTCCTCCAACCTCATTCGTGAACACCGAGTGGGTACATGGAGGGGATGGTGCCTGCATCTGCAGTTCTCAGAAGCGCCTCACTCTTGTGCTTGTCTACAGTTAGCCCCAGAAATTTGTTAAAATTGCTATTTCATGTTTTCATTGATGGCTTGCAGCAGCCTCTTCTCCCGGTGAGGACAGTGCAGATTCTGTATCTCTCCAGATACACTTGATAGTCCAGATTCTGGAATAGTGGATTTCCCTGTACCCTCTTTTTCTGCTGGGTCCAAAATAAGGTGATATTCAGTATGTTCCTCTTTCCTGTAAAAACTTAGTAACAACTTCCCTATTTGCTATATTTTGAACCTGAGACAAGAAGTTATGCCTTCTTTACTATCCAATCCATAGTCCTGATTCTTCATCTGATGAGGAACCAGTGGGGGATGTCCAATAAAAATTCAGTGCTAAAGGGAAGAGACTGTAAGTTAACAATGTAATTGAATGGATCAATTTACATGACTATATTAGGAAACAAAGAAAAATAATATGTCCAAAAAATTAATCTTAGTTAATTTTTGTACAGAATTAGTATATATCAAACTTCCTAAGATTGGCTTGTTCTAAAAAATGAATATTATGATTAAACATGGTTATAAACATGAAGTAAAAACTGATTTTAGTAAAAATCACACATCTGTTGCCAAATGTGAAGTACAAATCATTTTTATTTCAGCAATCATAAAAAAGGGAAGGAAGGGGTGTGAAGTCAAGTATTTAAGTAGAAACACATATGTGAGTCTCCCTTTTAAAATGCCATAATATGGGAGAAGATATTTTTACTACATTCCTTTTCTGGAAACAATTTAATGCACAAAAAAAAAAGTGAAAAGTGGCCCTCCCTGGTGGCGCAGCAGGTTAAAGCACAGCACTGAGACTCTAAAGCCGCTTCCGCATGAGTTCGATTCCCGCCTGCCCCGGAGGTGACCACATGGTGTGGCAGACCTCTCCTGACCCGCCCGCTGCTCCCCTCAGCAGCGTACTTTGTCAATCTGCCTGTTCTGCTCCCCACTCTGGTGAAGCCTCTCACTGCCCCTGAGCCTCTGGCCTGTACTCCAGTTCTGTATGACAAATAAATAAATCTTTAAAAGAAAAAAAAAAAAAGTGAAAAGAATATCATCAAAAGTAGGAAGCCACCACAAATCTGCCAAAACCAGGGAGAAACATGTGACAGTGACGTGGTCGTGAAGTTAAAACACCAAAAACATACAAATATCTACAATTCCAGGGTAGGGTCCAGAGGTTTGGAAATAAAGACAGACCCTTCCAGAAGCTTCTACCATGTACAATTTGTACATTGCTCTGTGTATGTTGGGGCAAGAGACTAACAGACTAGATGAGCATCCTTGAATGTAGTCCCCATAGCAAAGGGGGTGCCCCATGGTGTGCTGTGACTGCCCCACTGGATCCTGTGTTCCCACAGGTCCCCTAAACAGTTGTCTAAGACCCTGTTCTCTCGGGACTTCCTGAGGGGCTGGAGCCTGTTCATGAGCGGGTTCAGGATTCACGGCCAGGACCGAGGTCTGAATGCTTTGTGTGACACCCACGTGGGCCAGACTCCTCCCTGGCCCTTTGTGCGTGGTGCCGATGCCATAGTCAAAGCCAACAGGACTGTACCTGAGTCTTCCAGCACACAGAGACGTTTACAGGTCTGCAGCTGGGTCACGGTTGGCAAGTCGCGGCCTGGCAGAAGCACCACCACTGCAGCTTTGTGACTAGAAAATGTTTGTGGAAAGACACTTGCATCGTACAGGCCAGCAGGAGAGCTCTGTGGTTCTGAAGTTGTAGCCAGTCGTTCATTTAACAACATGGTAAATTCTTTCCCTGTATCATTTTTAACCCAAGATGTCTTAATTTAGGCAATCTTGTTTTCCAGGTGATTATGTTGTCATGACAATATACTTTGAATTGAGCAGAAGAATGGGATATTTCACTATTCAAACATACATTCCCTGTATACTGACTGTGGTTTTGTCTTGGGTGTCCTTTTGGATCAAAAAAGATGCTACACCAGCAAGAACAGCATTAGGTGAGTTTTAAGTCCCTTATCTACTACCATCTTGTATAATTTTAATAAGAGGTGTTTCTAAAAATGTCTCTTTTTTTAATGGAGGAGGTTGAGTAGTTGATCTAATTTGAGGACTGCCTAAACAGCACTTAAATTTCTTAGTGTAGCCAAGATAGATTGTTCCTCTTCACAATAAAATTCTATGTGTACCACTTATACTAAGTAGGCATTACTCATTCACAATAGATCAATTCAGAATAGATCCCTGTGCTCTAAATCTGATAAGATCATAAAAACAAAGTCCCATTCCCAGAATCTGCCGAATCTCAAAAGTCTCCTTATGCTCTCTTATGTGTAAGACTGTACACCGGCCTGGCCCCGATGGAAAACCGAGGGAGGGCCCCACGCATGATGACAAATGTATCTGCCCTACAGCACAGCAATTCCACTAATATAAAAAAAATTTAAGGAACTGTACCTTATAAAATTGTATACCCATAAAAATCAAAAGAAATTGTGGATTTGACAGAAAGGAAGCAGCCATGCAACCGTGGATGGCCATGGGGCTTCTCTAACTGTTGGCTACCTGTGCCCACGCAGGCATCACCACAGTGCTAACCATGACCACCCTCAGCACCATCGCCAGGAAGTCCCTGCCCCGAGTGTCCTACGTGACCGCCATGGACCTCTTTGTGACCGTGTGCTTCTTATTTGTCTTTGCCGCGCTGATGGAGTATGCCACCCTCAACTACTACTCGAGCTGTAGAAAGCCAGCCACCACTAAAAAGAAAACATCAGTAAGTTATAGTAGCAAAGATTTTCTGGGGAAATAGTGGGAGGATCCTTTGACATAAATGATTCTTATTCCTAAGGGTTTTAAACAATATGAGATAAATATCGAATTCGACAAGACATTAGGAACAACAAGACAGGTATTATGGCAGCAGAAATGTGACTTTTCAGGTGAAGCACCTCTCCGCATCACCTGTCTGTGACATGAACTGATGTAATCACGTTAAAGGCTCTTTTAGTAGCGTGAATGTGACGCAGATTTCCATAGCAGTTTTTTAATTTTTTTTTTTGCTTTTCTTGCAGTTATTACATCCAGATTCCTCAAGATGGATTCATGAGCGAATAAGCCTACAAGCTCCCTCTGTATGTACAGTATTGCTGATGCAAATATTGCTGAGAGCTCTCAGTAAACTAAAATTGTGTTGAAAAGATCCTTCACTGCTTCTGTACACCTGTGTTAACAAACAATGAGGGATGAACATACTCCCTTCAAAAATATATTTGCTGTTAAAATCCAATTTAGAAAATTTGGAAAGTAGAGGAGGTATTCCTAATCCTTTCTAGGGATTTTTCTGATTTTTTCTGAGCATTCATATGATGGAGATGCAAGCATTTTGGAAAAGCTGAATTATGATCTCTGTATTATTTGACAGCCTCTTTGTAGCTCAAAGATAAGAATAAGTGCCTGTGTCATAAGTATTACTTTACTGATTATTTGAGCAATTGCATCCCATGACTGACATGCAGCAGGATGCTGGGCTTTTCACTAATATACAAACTCTTATCACTGTAGTTTGTGTACCCCTGAGTCCGTTGTCAGTCCCAATACCTCAAAGCAGAATGGTAGAGTCAAAGAGCTTGGTGGTCTTTGCTAAATGGCCTGCCGCCAACTCCATTAGCCACACACACCGCCCACCTTCCAGAATCCCTTACGCTAGGCCCAACAGCCAAGCAGAAAAACAGCCGAACAGCCCCATCGACATTTCTTTGATAACTTAGGAAGTTTAATATTTTCACCTGATGTTTTTAATTTGCTTCTCTGTTTTTGTGATTTTTTTTATGTCTTAATTTTCTTAATTTATGTCTTTTGTTGTCAGTATATCTTTTATAAAATATTGTGCTGACATGTTTAAAGTAGTAATCTGCCAATTCTCTGTTATGTACTAACATGTTAAAGCTTATATACTCGTACAGTATTTACATTGTTTCATAGAGGCTACATTAGAGACATTAGCATTTTTATGTAGTTTCTATTCTAGTTTTCACTGGCAATGCTGTCAGCGTCATTTCTTGTGCCTTTGCCCACAGGCATTGTTTTCAGTTTCACATGGTTAAATCTGTCTTCCTTCTTGGTTCCTGCTTTTTATTATATGCCCAGGAAGACTCTTGTATCTCCAGAGTGACATAACTCCCCTTCACTTTCCTTTAAGTGCTTTATTTGATGCTGTCATCTAACTGCTCTCATGTTATCAACTTATTTTTATCTCACTATAACCCATTCTACAGGTGAAGAAGCTGAGGTTTGGGAAAATGAGTCCTATAAAAATGATTGAAACTTCCTCAAAAAATGTTATGTTCAATTACTAATGAATCTGAATTTCAGATAAATGGCCAGAGGTAGGGCTCTAACTAAAGAAAAATAAGAAATGTATCTTTAGTTCACTGAAGTGAACGCTCACTTTTATCATATAACTACTTCTTTGTATAATCATTTCTTGTGTTTCTTTATACATATGAACTCACTAACTACACTGAATGATTTCTGTCCTTACAGACACCTTAGGGCAATGTCTAACTGCTAACTCTACCAGTAACTTATAGCTCACGCATTTCAATCCATTTTCATTAAGAGACTATGTGTCCTTGCAGTTATAATAGAAAGTAAGTAAAGCCATTTTATATCTGTGGGAAGCCACAGTGAACATATGGTTTTGCAAGCAAATACAACTAGATAACAGCAGACTGAAATAGAATGAAAAGAGACATGGAGGAGAGGGGTGAAGAGAAGAGAGGCAAATCACACACAGCCTGGAGGGCGGAGGTAGGAGAAAGAGTAACGTCTTTGATGGCCCACGGAATCACTGAGCTGCCTGTACCTGGGAAATGAGTCATAGATCCAGCGAGGGGAGAGGGAGACTACCTTGAAGACTGATTAATTAAAAACTTCATTTTGGACACAGTTTGATATTTTCATGACAAATGAGAGGAATTCATTTAAAGGAGTACTTAAGCAATGTAATGTATGGCTGTTTAGGGCTTTTAACACCCCAAGTTTTATCTCAATATTGTAAAATGGAATTAGTTTCATTTCAAAGCAGGGAGGTAAAAAGATATAAATAGTGCTCTCTTAATTATTGGATCAGCTTTCTGTTTCCGCTTGCTTGTGTCTAATTTCCTAAATGAAGAAGTGAAATACAGCTTTCTCATCTACCCAGAAACCTTGTCACTTACCTGCCTGTGGCCTGGGGTCACCCATTAGATCTCTTGTGAGTTGTCCCAACCCCTGCAGAAGCTTCTCATGGCCACTCCATCATTGCTTTGAGAGGCCCTTCCTGTGATTGGCTTCTCCAGGTGCCTTTATACAGGCACACAGGGTTGAAGAAAAGTGTCAAAACACTCAATTTATTACTTAGCAGATTTCTCCAATTGGAGCTCATTGAATAGAATCCCTGGATTAGTGTCAAGTATCTTTTTTTTTCACTCAACGTCCTTTCCCCTCCTCCCATTCACTTTTATACCCACTCAGGTTTAAGAACAATTGACGTGGAGGAGATTCGGCCTCCTTAGAGTGGACTCTTTCTCCCACCACCCAGAATTGTGAAGGGACAGAGGCTGTTGCACCATTCACTTTGGGATGGCCATTGGCATGCAGAGAGCTGGCAGTGTTTCATAGAAGCACGATGTGGAACATCTGGCTTTAAGTCGGTCCTCACACACACTTCCCATGTAAAAGGATGTCTCAGAAGGCTTTTCTGTCAGTGACTTTGAGGACTTTATACTCAAAACTTCAGCTAAGAACATATCTAATCAAATGCCATCCAAAAAGGGAGAAAAACTGCCACGTTTCCCTTCAATAGTCGTCACAGTAAAAATAGATATTCCCAAGTCTCTCTCATGAATTCTGAAGGGCCTCTCCCAGCATTGGGCAAAGGAGCCAGCTGGGAACTGGACCTCTGTGTCCATCCCACCTTGACTTCAGCCTCAATGTTTGCTTCACGATGCTTCCATTTCTAGTTCACTCTGCATAAATCTAACCAAAGCAGAGAAAGACAACACCTCTGATTTTGAGTTCTCTTAAATTAGTCAGCTGAATTTAGAAATGCATCCTCTTAACAGACTTCAGTTTAATCCCTAGTTCATAGTTACTTGGAGAAGCTCAACTGCTACCTGAAGAACTGACACATCTATTGACAGCCACTTCTAAGGTGAAGAGAAGAGAGCCGTCTCTTGTATGAGTGAACACAGATATCCTCACTCCTCTGTCTGCCCCACCCTCACTTCTGCACATCAGGAAGAGAGCATAGGAAGTAGAAAGTGAAACTTTCTGATCATATATGTCTTGGCAAAGCCTCTCAAACGATGAGTGGAGTCATTTGAGACAGTGGTGTCATACTGACAGCTCATTATTTTAATCTGAACTACATGGACCAAGAAGGTCCTCCCACACCCCCTTTTAACTATTTAATAATTAGGAAAAAATACCAAATGCATCTGTCCACAGTTCACTTGTACTTTAAACATATGTTAACATTAAAAGAGTAGTAAATAAAATGTATAAACTTGCTAAAATTCATCAGCCAAGTAGGCAGAACAGGGACTTGAGATGGTTGGAACATATTGCAAATTTGCTCAGCCTCCCTCACCAATCCTGAGAAATGCAAGATTTGAAAAACCACTTTGCACTTTGCTTGCATTAGATTTGCTGAGACTGACCTCTCGCCAAGATCCTTGGGAGGTAGGGAGGTGTTGCTAGCCTCTGAATCGGGTGGGCGGACCCAACATGCTGGCTGCTTTCTTGATCTCCAAGTGTTCTCACTGCATCCCCTGCTGACTGTGGTGTTCTTGTTGCCCACAGAACTATTCTCTCCTGGATATGAGACCGCCACCGCCGGAGATGATCACTTTGAACAAGTCCGTGTACTGGCAGGAATTTGAAGACCCCTGTGTCTATGAGTGTCTGGATGGCAAAGACTGTCAGAGTTTCTTCTGTTGCTATGAAGAATGCAAATCAGGATCTTGGAGAAAAGGGCGCATTCACATAGACATCTTAGAGCTGGACTCCTACTCCCGGGTCTTTTTCCCTACATCCTTTCTGCTCTTTAACTTGGTCTATTGGGTGGGGTACCTGTATCTCTAAATGTAGTTTCAGTGACGAGTAAAGAGTGCTAGGTTCCCCCCTTTACTTTCGGCCTCCCCAGACCCGTAGTGACCAGAGTAACAAAGAAGGACATTGTTCGGTTTATCTGAAGTTTTATGTACCTTTCAGCAGCACAGGAGTATGTGACAAATATTTCTATTCCATGTTTCACACATGTGTGTGCGTACAGACACCACACACACACAATTTAATTGAGTTTTTTAAGTGATATTCTTGCTAACCCCCTATTGAATCTGTAGCTTGGTGATGTTTACAAATTGTGTTTGGATATTGGAAGTAGATGCCAATTATCTTTGCAAAGAAATCTGTAGAACATGAGAGCAAATGTGGGAGAAGCTCTCTCAGGCCGGACCTCTAGGTATCTACCCTTTGCAGCCGTTGGCACATGTCCACAGGTTCAAGTCCCTGCTGGCTGAGACACACTGTGTGGACCTCAGCCCTGAGTTTCTGGGGTGTTCTGAGTTCAGGTGTAACCTTTGACCCAGTTTCCTCTTTCTGTGGCCTCTGACGCTGGCACCATCATCATTAACTGGCATTCCTTTACCTGATGACCTCACTCAGCATAGGGTGGATGCACAAGTATCATCCGCAAGTTGGTAAGTGAGGGAAAACTGAGTTTTAAAATTCTCACAGGTTTGGTGTTGATTACACTTGATCAGGCTTTATTGCTTTAGTCCAAATTAGTGAAATCAGGCAGGGATTTAGGGTGTTAGGGTTCTTGGACTAGTTCAGCTTTCATTCAAAATCATAACCTTAAGAATTGGTTTTTTTTTTACCAGGCAAGGCTCAGCCTCAGAGTATGTGACTTGCTTGTGCTACATTACGATATTATGAATTTAATGTTATCTTCATGCAAGCAAAAAAAAAAAAAAAGATACAGATTTCACCTTTGTCTTGAAAGTGTATTCTAGAGTGTGAAGGAAATGTGGCTAGAATTTAAAATTTCTTAGTAAATCTTAATTTTCACATGAAATCGACTTTAGATGCAAAAAAAAAGTGAGTGATAACTATCATCAATGATATTTTTGATGAACAAAAATTATTTTATACTTTGAAATATGAATAAGTAGGAAAATTCCAAAGAACATAATCCCCTGAAATTATTACACTTTTGATATTTTTATAAACACAAAAATAACTTGCTTCTTGATGTTAGTTCTTTGTTACAAGTGGATGCCACTATGTACTTCACAAGACTCTCCAGAAGCTTCCCACTATTGACAGAATAAAGAAAGTCCTAACAATTCACTGACAATGCATTGGCATTATTAAAATTTTGGTACTAAATTTTGATACCAGAATCTTTGTGCTACTCATCTTTCTCACCCAGAAAACTTAATCGATTTTCTTGGGAACCATAATATTTTATTTTAACAATAGATGATATATGCCATTATTATTTAGAAAGTAAATAGAACATTATGCAAAGCAATATGTCAAAGCGTTGATTTCACATAATTTGTAGAATGCACATCAGACATAAAAGGAGATGGGGTAGAAGAGAACAGCTGAGATTAGATGGAATTGGATGTTAACTCTTAGTAGTAGTATTGCCTCCAAGGAAATGCCAGACACAGGTCATCACCCACTTTTCAAGGACTGATTCTGTGTAGTGTGAGACTCCCAGCCCTGTCAACTCCCTGACTTTTGAGTTGGTAGCTGTTACAGTGAGCCACAAGCTGACTGACTTCTATTGAGCGAATGCAATTTAAGTTAAAATTATAATAAATATTTGTGTAGAAACAGGTTGAACCTACTGGCTTAAATGAAATTTCTTCTCTATTGAAGAATTTCCCCTACCTGCATCCTCTCATCGATAAACACCCCTCCCACCCTCAGCAGAGATGGCAGAGGGGCTCCCTGACAGAAGCGTGTCACAGCCCACACTACAGCACTAGTCCTGAGGAGAGGTGGCCCTGGTTTGCCTTCTTCAGACACAGTTCCTAACTTCATGAATTTCAATTTCTAACAACGAAGATTTTCAACCTGTTACATCGTGAAAGAAATACCAGAGAGACCTGAGTTTTCCAGTGTAATTCTTCTTGGCAAGAAATAAGCTAAAACATGGAGACTTGGTGCAATTTTACTCAGCTTTTTTTTTTTTTTTTCTTAACTGATGCCTCTTGTCTGAAAGCAGCTCTGTATTGGGACATCATTAGCAAGTCTCAAAATTATGACTTTGTGATGTCCTAGCCAGTAACTCCTGTTACTGGCATTCACCATTCTCTTTGCCCTCAGCCATCCTTCTAATCTAAAGTTCATGGTGCCTCGTCCATGAAAGAAAAACCTCGTCTCCAGAGAGTCCAGTGGATGTTCAGTCAGAGAGCATCAAATAAAGACTCCAACACATTTAACAGTCTCTCCACTGCAGGGTCTGATCAAAAGCAACTAGAACAGCTCCGTAAGAGCTGTATCTCTGGAGGTAGGCTTCATTCACGTTCCGCTTACCAATCGCCACTCCTGAGATCAGCCATTTTGGGGGTGTGCATCTCCTGGGGGTGCAGCGCTCAGGGGTTGGTTGAGTGCCTACGTGTTTACTTTGTGGTCATAGGAAGAAGGGCACATAGTGCCAGGGAAAAGCATCACCCTGATTGAAGGATTCACCCTCACCAGGATGCTTGGTTTATGGGGATATGTGTGAGACACGAACACGGGCTTGTTTCACCAGACGCCATGTCCTTACAGCTCTGTCCAACTTGCATTTCCTGTTGAGTCGCTAAGGTCTTCTGGTGAGGGTTTGGCAGCTGTGGGGAAGTTGACTGAGTACCGCATTCCAAGGTGCTACTGCGCTCTTAAATTTCAGAATCACTTTAAATTCAGGAGATATCAGTTCTACATTCTAAAACAGATTTCAAATTTCTGACCACTATGGTAACACTGATTTTCTCTCCTTAAACTGCATCCAGGCTAAGAGACATGAGAATCTTTTTTCACATTAGTGGACCTAGAACAAAATGCCTCTTCTGTATCTATAAAGTTTCAAATTCTGCAAAGTTACACCACCAATGACCAGAACAGAGACTCTTAGATACTGGACAGAGAAGAACAATATTACTATAATTTATTTCATACCCAGCCAGTACTGCCCCCAATTTAATCAATACATGCCTTAAATAACATACAGAGCTCCAGTAATAGATGTAAATACATACTGAGTGTTTGTGAGTTTGGGTTTTACAACATTATTATTTGAAAGCTCTTCAGAAAGGTATTTGAAAATATAGGGAAAAGGACCAGATTTTGAATATATTGTAAATGTGAAATTCACAACTTTCTGCTGGGCCTCCTTCAAATTGCCCCAAATTGCAGAAATGGGTATTCTATACATGTTTCTTTTTCTCAAATTTGTCTGTAGAAAGCATTCAGGTTCACACCACTTAGTAGTGCCTCTACATTGCATAATCATGTCGAAGGAACCAAATTAATTGTAGTGCAGGCTTTTGGGGTTGTTGATTTATCTCTTATGAAAAATTAGATTTATTTCATAATAGGGAGAAAGCATGTATGTATTGAAATAATCGTATAATAGCTCAGCCATTCACCTCTCTAGAAGGACAAAAAAACCCTGGCTTTTAAGAAAACATTTGGGATTTTGAAGCCTAGAGATTAGCACATTCCCGCTTTTCCTTTTAAAATGTCTTCCAATGACAATTTAGCAATTCTATGTCAACTTTACCTAGTTCTATTAAGGTCAAAAGGGAAATGTCCCCTATTATTTATTTATTTTGTTAAATGTCCTCCAGTTAAATGATCCTTTGGTTTGTACTGGTGTCAGTAAATCACTCTTAATCCTTTTTATTACTTTGTTCACATAAAAAATATTGTAGGTAGCTTTAAGTATATCCGCACTTTAAAAAAAATGGAGAACTCACAAGTGTTTTAAGTTAACTAATTAAGATTTTTCAGACAGCATTATGCAGGAACAACAGCTAGAACATAATTAAGAAAACAAAGCACAGGAGCACATGGGCGTGAACCCACACGCACGTGCACACACATGTACAAACACATGCACACACACACGAAGCCAACCCTGTTCAGAAGCATTCAGGTCATTGAGGGGAATGTAACTCGTTGTGATTGAAGTACTCAATCTCTTACTTTCACCATTTCATTTTTACACTTGTAAAGTGATCCAGCCTCACATGCTGAGGGTGATTATGGTTTCTACAGGGAGGAAGGGTCCTCTATTCGCTGAACAGGTTGGAAGGAAAAGTAAAGACTAATTGTTCATCATGAACCTGCCCAGGCTCAGACGGTAGCTGTTTTTCTCTCTGGTTTACTGGGTTCCTTCTTTTCCCCCACTGACCATGTTATCACAAATGGCAACAAAGGTTGCCATTTTTTCAGCAAAAGGAGAAATCTTAACTCATGTCAGACTCTGATTTAGGAAAACAAGTAAGAAGTGTCTGATTTGGTTAATATTTGTTACAATGGGTTTTAACATGTATTGTTCACATTTATAACAACTGGGAAGAATTTGGGGGGTCAGTTTTGGCCATGCTATCCAGAAGCTCCTTCCCTCATTTCAGTGGGAAGAGCACATGCCCCATTGTCTCAATCAACACACCCACTGATCCAGGGACCCCACTCCACTCTCTGTTTCAGTGCAGGGGACCTGGAAGTGACAGAGAGGTGGGGAAAAAGGGGGGAAAAAATAGGTTGTCTTCTAATGTGACTTTCAATGCAATTAAAAGATATACAATGATAGAAAATCCACAGAACTCGCTGACTGAATTTTCAAAGTGCCAGACAGAAATGAAAGGATTTGTGAAGGAAGAAACTGCTGAATCACCATCAGCAGCAGCATTATCTATAACCATCTTCATGATCTTAGCTATTGGTTCAAAACAAAGGTTTAGTCTTTTCCAAACCATAACAAAATTAGAACTTAAATTAAGGAGAAAATGGAAAGGTCCTATTTTAAATATTTAAATGTGAGTCATAATTCCAAATGTTGGTTGCCTAAAACCTTTTCAGCACTGCCTCTGCAGCCAGCAGGCCTGTGTACCCTACCTCCATCAGTCTGAAATGATTCCTTAGAACATGCCACCTAGCTTTCAGGTGTTGATTTCCTGCATTCTTTTTGTTTTTACCTCATTTTGGCTTTTTATTTCTTTCATGAAGATTCATTAGAATCAACTAAAAAGTTTCTTCCCTAAAATGGTTGCATCTGTGACATCACAGAGCCTATTAGCCAAAAAGGACAATCAATATGCTTTGTACTACACAATATGAATCCAAGCTTTGATTCTCCCTAACTTAGCTTAGGATGTTTACTTTTGGATTGAAATAGACATGGGGAAAAAATATCTGTTTGTTTAAAATAACGCTATTGAAACACTTTACAAGACACTGTCAATCCTTCCTGACCTTCAAAATGACTAAATCTGTGCTATGAGTAATGTTTACATGCTGATATGTTTGTCAACTACATCATAGATTTTCCTTTACAAACTGCTCCTGGACTGAGTGAAAGTTCTTCCACATCAGTGTAATTTCTATGAAAGTTCTAGACCAATTTCAGGGACCAGGGCCTGGGTTTTCTTATGAGGAGCAAGGCCATCTCATGTTTACATGCAGTGACTTGTATTTGTGTATGTATGTACAGTGGTAAAACTGTAACAACTCATAAAAGTGTGGATTACTCTACCCCCAACCCAATGTAGTTGAAATAAGTAGAAAGAGGACAGTTTCCTAATGATAGTAACTAGTTTCCTAAGCCTTCATTCAAGGTAAAAAGAGAGAGAGGCAGATACCTGACAATCTTTGTTTCCTGAAAATGTAGGATGACATTTTTTCTTTAAAAAAAAGATCTGATCAGAAGTTGGTCCAGAGTCCAAACAAGCCTCCAGCTTCCTCCTGATCACCAATTTCACCTGGGAGCCCATCTGAGGGAGTCCTTGATCATGTGTGCATTGTGGTCAATTTTATCCAAGAAACTAAAAGCAGCTCTCCAGATTTTGAAGGCAGATAGCCACCACCATGCTTGACTAGGATGGAACTGTCTCCACAGCGTAATGAACCATCAGGCCTAGCATAAAGGGAGGGTCAAGAAGGAACCAGCCATAGAGTGTATGTAAAAAACCACCAGGAGCCCCAAGAAAGGTCCCAGGCAGGAAGGGAGGGTAGAGGAGCAAATCTGCTTTCTGGGGAGAATCCTTCCAGCTTTGACACCTCCACAGGATGGGAGGAGGATAGAGAGCTTCCAGAATCTTGGAATCACTCCTGAAAGCAGTGTAAGCAACGAGGCCCTAGAGAGGAGCCCAGTCCTGCCTGAGTTCTTGCACCCACCTCTCCAAGCAAGGAGGCCAGGGACCAAGCCAGGATCCCTGCCCTCACCACGTGGCCTCCAACTGCCCCTGCTCCCCCGTGGTCCCTAGAGGTCCTGGAGGCCCTGACTCTGGACTTCCTGCTTTCTCAGGCAGTTCTGAAGTCCCACCATCCTCCTCCCCTCTGTAGAGGACGTGACTCCCTGCTAGCCGTGCAGCTCGTGGTGTCCTAGTGAAACGAGGGTGCACTTGTGCCCGACGTGCCTTGGCGACACGGGTGGCACAGCGCCCGCTTCGCCCATCGGTCCCTGCCACGCCATTAGGGCCGTACCCGACCTGGGCCAGGTGGGCCTGGTGGCTAGGCCGCCCTCTGTATTTGTATTTGGATTCCTACATTTGTACTTCTAATGCAAATAAATGCACATGTTATCAGAAATACTTGAGTCAAGAGTGGACGTCTTTCTGTTTTACGGAGGTAAACCTGGAGGCCTGGGAAAGGTGTGGGTTGTGGTTTTGGTCAAGAGTGCTGGTCTGCATGGGACACTAACCATAGGAGGTTTCTGAACTATTCAAATTCCAGACTGGCTGAGCCCGGTTCAGACCAATTGAAACCAGTTTAACTCAGCTGAACGGGTTCAGACTGGTTCAAACAGGTACAAACTGGCTGAGACCATTCAAGACTGCTGGGACCGGTTCACGCCAGTTTAGAACACTTGAGAAAGGATCATAAAACTGAGAGTGAAACCAATTGGCACTGCCCTCTGCTGGCTACAAACCATATGAATAATTTCCAAAGAGTTCTGACGAGTTCAAACTGACTCTGAAACCACTTC